TTGGGTGCTGTTTTTCCTCAGGATCTATCATCTGTTTTGAAACAAGGGCTCTCATTGATCTGGGGCTCACAGATTAGGCTAAGCTGGCTGAGAGTCCCAGGGATCCACCTGTATCTGCTACCCCAGCACTGGCATTATAAACCATGCCCAACATTTAAAGTGGGTTCTGGGGATGGAACTCAGGTCCTCACACTTGCTAGACAAGCACTTTACAGAGCCATCTCAGTCTGTTTCTGCTTTTAGACACCTATTTTGCTAAGTGATTCAAAGCATGCAAAACCAATACAGATTTCACTGTGATAATGTACTTTTATTACTGCATTTATTAATCCATCAATATATTTTAAGGATGTACTTTTTTCAAACAAAACTTTCACTCTTTTTATGCATATAGTAGGAAGTATATACTTGTATTATGTAGCTTATAAAATATTCTTTTAATTAAGTTCACTTAAAGTATTGCTTTGAATACACTGGACTTTATTTCATTTTGGACTTAAACTTAAAAATTAAAATAACTGGGGTTGGAGAGATGGCTCAGTGGTTAAGAGCACTGGCTGCTCTTGCAGAGGACCCAGGTTTGGTTCCTAGCATCCTCATGGTAGCTAACAACCATCTCTAACTCTAGTTCCAGGAGAAGCAATGTCCTCTTCTGGCCTCTGTAGGCATCACACACATGGGTGCACTTATATACATGCAGGCAAAACAAATACACATAAGATAAAAAAATTTTTTAATTAAAATAATGGGGCAAGGGATGTAGCTCGGTTTGTAGAATGCATGCTAATACAAAGCCTTGAGTGCAAGCCCCAGCACCACATAAACTAGGTGTACTGGCACAGGCCTATAATCCTAGGACTAGGGATGTGGAGGCAGGAAAATCAAAAGTTCAAGGTAAGGTGGGGAGATGATCAGTGGTTAAACATTAGCCACCCAACCATGAGGACCAAGAGTTAGGATCCCCAGAAAACCCACATAAATGTCAGGTGGGTGTGGTGGCCCACTTGTAATTCTAGCAAAGGAAGTCGGAGACAGGGGATCCCCAGAGCAAGCTGGCTAGCAAGAATAGCCATATCTGTGAGCTCTGGGTTTGGTTGAGAAGCTTTGCCTCAATGAATAAGGTGGAAGAGTAATTGAAGATGGTTCCTAACAGCAATCTCAGGCTTCCACATGTGCGCTAACACATGTGCACATGAGCCCACATATGCAAAAACATGCATCTATACACACATGAAAAAAATTCAAAAAAGAAAAAGATCAGAGCTGGAGAGATGGCTCAGCAGTTAAGAGTACTAGCTGCTTTTTCAGAGGATCTGGGTTCAGTTCCCAGCACCCACATGGCAGTTCACAACCTTCTGTAACTCCAATGCTGGGGGATCTGACACCCTCTTCTGGTTTCTGTGGCTGTTACATGACATGGGTTCACTCATGCAGGTAAAACATTCATACACATAAAATGAAATTTTTTTTAATTAAAAATAAGTTGTTGAAGGTAATTTTCAGCTACACAGTGAGTTTGAAGCTAACCTGAGGTACATGAGACCCTATTGAAATAATAATAATTATTATTATTATCAAAAATTATGTGCTTCAGGATGGGTGTGGTGGCTCATGCCTTTAAACCCAGCACTCGGGAGGCAGAGGCAGACAAATCTGTGAGTTCAAGGCCAGCCTGGTCTACGTAGTGAGTTCCAGGCCAACTGGGGAGACCCTGTCTCAAAAAGACCAAAAAAAAAAAAAAAAGAAGATGTGCTTCTACACGGAATTTTTGTCCCAAACTCCAGTTACTTAAGAGTTTTTCTAGAGTTGCAGGAGAAGGTATCTCGCTGCATCCAGGCAGGCAGGGAAGGCAGATATTGCTGCTTTCCTCTGGCCGTGTGCTCATGAAATGCAGAGAGCATGCTCAGTAACCTGGCATGAATTGTATTGGGAGTGGCAGCATTTTAGGGTAGAATGTATTTAGCAAAAGATGACAGCTATGCCAGATTGACTGAGGGTGGCATGGTGTTTCATTTTTATTCTCTGGGTACCTCGGGTAATTGGCTAGTTTGCAAGTACAAGACTTTTGCCAAAGTCTATAATTTACCCCCAAAGGCTTGTTCATCTACATATCTACTACACATACTGCTTATAAAACCCTGCGACAACAGGTCAACACATATGTCACATTATATAAACACCTAATATGCAGAGGTATTTAGCACAGGTAGATGGGCATAAATGACTTCAAAAATGTATTCAAAGACTTATTTTATAAATGGAAAGGGATTATAATGTCCCTTTTCCATAAGATATTTATCTGGCTGTTATTTAGTCTCAAGTAGTCTACCTGGCCTTCAACTTGCTGGGTAGCTAAGAATGACCTTGAACTTCTGAGCATCCTGCTTCCACCTCCCAATTGTTGAGATTACAGATATGTGCCACCATTCCTGGCTTATGTGTTGCTGTGAATCCTGTGCCTTGACAATGCTAGGCAGGCATTCTGTCACCTGAGCCACATCCCAAGCCCCTCTATACAATTATTTGAAGATGTATAGCTTTTGGTCTCAATTCAGAGAATAACTGTAAGGTAGGAGAGAACTGACTCCACAAAGTTTTCCTTTGACTACTGTGGCATGTATACCCCACCCCCATTGTTCACATACACATACATAATAACAAATATTCTCAAAAAGGCCAAAAAAATGCCACACACATACACATAAATAAAAAAATAAGCCTTAATAAAATTGAGTTGGGCCAGGTGTGGTGGTGCATGCCTTTAATCCCAGCACTCGGGAATCAGAGGCAGGTGGATCTCTGTGAGTTTGAGGCCAGCCTGGTCTACCTAGTGAGTTCTAGGACAGCTGGGGCTACAGGGAGATGCCTCAAAAATGGACAAAAAAGGGGCTGGAAAGATGGCTTAGTGGGTAAGAACACTGGCTGTTCTTGCAGAAGACCCAGGTTCAAATTCCAGCACCCACATGGTAGTTACAACTGTCCAAAACTCCAGTTCCAGGGGATCCGACAGCCTCTTCTGTCCTCTGTGGGCATTGCATGATATGGATGCACATAAAAGTCCTAAAGGGAATTGCACTGGAGGGAACATACCTCAGCATAATTAAAGCTATATACAACAAACCCAGAACCAACATCATTCTAAATGGAAAAATCAAAAACAAAAACAAAAAAAAAAAAAAGACCATGGCTTTCTTATGTACCTGTGCTAATAAATTACAGCTAAATAAGCACCAATATATAAAAAGACAATCGAAAGTCCCATGGTTTCTTCTGTTACCTCTGAAATTCACAATATCAATCCTCAAAATTTTCCTAAGCCAAGTCTTTAATGTCATTTGGAGTCTCACTAGGCTTAAGGAACAGTCACATTCAAGAGAAACATGGATGCTTTTGACTCCTCATTGCAATACATAAACTCTCAATAGTGCCCTCAGAGTTTTGAGCTGATACATTTTCAGAGAAAAAGCAAAACAACAGACTAATAACTGAAGTTAATAGAAGAATCATAGTACTGGATTAGTAAGCCTGGAGACAGACATTTCTAAGACAGCCTATAAGAAAATGGGCTGTGGACAGTGATTCCACGGGTCTTCCCAGATGCCAGCCAAGGGTCTCACACGACTACACATGTGCCAGAGTTCCTGACACCTACACATCTGAAAAAAGTTATTTTCAAATAAGAACAACTTTCTCAGGGCTGGAGAGATGGTTCAGTGGTTAAGAGCACTATCTGCTCTTGTAGAGGAACCAGATTCCATTCCCAGCACCCACATAGTGGATAATAATTGTCTGTAACTCTAGTTCCAGGGGCTCCAACGCCCTCTTCTGACATCTGCAGGCCCTGCATGACATGGGTTCACCTACCTACATGCAGGCAATACACTCATACACATAAAATTAAAATAAATAAAATTTAAAAATTTTCTTGCTGGGCGTGGTAGCTCACGCCTTTAATCCCAGCACTTGGGAGGCAGAGGCAGGTGGATCTGTGAATTCAGTTCAAGGCCAGCCTGGTCTACATAGTGAGTTCCAGACCACCTGGGGCTACAGGGAGACCCTGTCTCAAAAAAGACAAAAAAATAAAATAAAATAAAATAAAATTTCTTAATCCATTCACATAACTGGAGACTTGTTAGATTTTAGGGCCTACCAATACTAATTCCACTCTTCTGATGATTCTTCCAGTTCATCCAGGAAGCAACTAAGAAATAGGAGGCAGCATAGGCAGCTAGCATTTTTGTATTAAAATCAGCCCAGACTTCCTGAAAAACTGACTTGTTACTGAAGAGGTACAAAACATTCACAAACTTGGTTTTTTTCTCAGTATAGCCAAGGGCAGTGCCTGTCAAGCGTGACTGCAGAATCCCAGCTCAAATGCTTAATCCCTCAGAGAGGCCTGGGGACAATGGCTTTCTCAACCTGTATAGGGTTGTTACCCTTAGTCACTATTAGTTACCACTATTTCAGGAGACTGTCAAATACCAATTCCTTGCCAAAGAAGAGTCTAGTTAGTAACCAGCAATAAAAACAATAATAAACGAATTGTTTTCACGATGTTAATAGAAGAGATCCTAAGACATGTCTCGATCATTCTATAAGACCAAGGCCTAATGAGGGATAAACAAAAGAAAAGACAATATAAAGAGAACCCAAGGAACCCATGACAATAAATTCCAAATACCCACCAAGATTTGGACAGAGATGGGCCCGTTAGCAAAGCTTCAAAAATGACACACAATCGAGTTCATCATTCTCCACTTGATGTAGCACCCCAGCAATTCACAAAGAGTCTTTCGGTATTGGAGATTGATTCAATGGCACTGCCTCATATTATAATCATTAACAAAGCTATGCAAACAGAGATCAAAGTCTCCCCTTATGAATCTACATACAGAAAGTTAAGTAGGTAAACCTTGACACCCATCACCTACATCAGGCCTCCTCAGAGCACAGAGGATGGGCACTCAGTGAGAGCAAACAAGAGTGGAGTGATTCCTGACCTGCAGAATGAGAACGAAGTAGTCTACAGGTCTGTTTCGCTGGTAGAGGTAGTACTCGGGGGCTTTCTTGTTCTTCTCATCAAACTTCAGTTCCTGGATGACATTGGGGTGCTTTAGCAGCCTTAGAAGGATCTTCTCTGACATCTGGGATGGGCTAAATGCTTCTACTTCTATAGATATAAACACAACTTGACATTACACTTCAAACGGAGGGAAAAGATCATGCTAGCAATCACGGTGCTCAGACTGTAAGAATACTTGGCATCAGAGTGATAGAACATGGATGAACAAGACTTCCATTTGGTGATCCACTGGGGTCAGATTACCTGGGAGAAATCAGAAAAGGTGGAATGCTCATATCTGGTCCTTTTAAATTTTTCTTTTTCAACCTGTCACTGGTTTCTGTCTCATATGAGTGCCCTATGTTTCTGATTGATGGAGATGAAAACCAATCAGCAGCAGTCTCCTTGAGAGCCAGGATGCCCTCCAACACAAGTCACAACAGTCTGACTATCCACCAACAGCTAAGGGAGGAAGCCAAGGTTGGGAAGCACTGAGGGTGGGTTAGTACTGGTACATAGACCTGGGCTCCACCTCTCACTCTCCCACGCCACTCTCCTGAGAGATTCCAGGGACCACCGAGGGAGAGATTCAGAATAGAAGCAAGGCCGTGCACACATCAACATGCACTCCAACTCGCCAACAAAAAAAAAAAAAAAGGAATGTTGGTCAGCATTGACAAAAATAGTCACTTCACTTAAAATGACCAAAAATCAAAAGTACTGACTCAAGGGTGCTATTGTACAAGTGGACTTCATGACTTCTCAGAGGCAGAGTAGGATAACACTGAGTTTTAATGTGTGGTTCTTCAATGATGAGCAACAGTATTAGCAGAATTAAGAAAAGAATTATAACAGATATTGTTTAATTTTTTATTTTCTTAATTAGATGCTATAGATGAAAGCTATAAATTCAGTATTCATGTCTGTGACTTTCACAGTAAGACAGTACACTGCAGGCAATTTGGAAAACACAGAAAAATGAAATAAAAATGATCTGTAAGCCAACTGCTTGGATAACCATTTAGAGCAATTTGGTGAGTATTTCTTTCCAGTGCTTTGCCTAGGCATGTGTGCCTCTGTACACGTGTGCATGTGTACACACAGAACCATAACTGTGGACTTAACATACATATATTTTGATATCCTGGACTTTCCTACTATACAGTAAGTCATGGACACTTTCCCATGTCATAAATGTTAATAGTGAGCATTCCGATGTATCTGACAGCATAGGGAACATCCATCATGTGCTGCTGTTGACCATCTTTTCAGTATACTCTTATATAAATACACTGCATGCAGCTGAAAGCTACTGGCTTGCCCATCTTGAAAACAGACGTCTTCCACAAGCCTCTGGGTAATTTCAAACTTTTTTCTCACCCTTCACCTAGAGGGCCACTGGGGATGTGAGAGGGTTAGTCAGTCTCGGGTCCTTTTCAACCTTGACCTGTTGGGAGTGGTCAGTGCTGGCTGAACTGGTGGCTTTAATAATGTGAACACTTGCCTCTGAGTGGGGCCCAGGTTAATCTGATTTGAACAGCCACCAAGAAATTCATGCCCAAGTCTTAGAATCTCTCATTTCATCAAACCATAAAAGAGAAGGATTTAATTCTGCCTGTCTGTTTTTCTTCTTTGTGAGTCATACATAGCACCTGCATTACCACTGGTGTCCAACTGTTCTTCCAAGGCAAGCTGAAGAGAGAATTACTCAACTGTCCAATCAAATGAAGTGGTGTCTGGTTTGCACTGTCAGCCTACTCCGCCAGCTGGCTCGCCCGTGGGCTTAGCTGGAAGTAGATGACCTGGCCTCCCATACACATGCAGTGTGGCACTAACATTCATCCTTACCTTCAGACCAATTTTAAGTTACTGGTCCACCCCTGGTAAATGTCTCAGAGGGTTCATGCCGACACTGAACACAGGAGAGGAGAGAATTTAAAGAGAACAAAACAAAACAGAACAAAACAAAAAAAAAAAAACAAAAACACAAAGTGGCATTACTTGTCACCCCATTTCCCAGCCTCCACCCCCAACCCTCCCAGTCAGTGGTGTTGAGGAAGGCTCGGCGATCTCACACTGTGATAAGCACACTTGCCTGTTGCTAGGAAACGGTGCATGGCCAGGAGAAGCTGTGGTGATATTTTAACCTTCATCTCGCTGTCTTTATTTTGATATATCACAGTGAAAGATTTATCGTCCTCTTTTTTTTTTTTTTTTTTTAAAAAAAAAAAAAAAAAAAAAAAAAAAAAAAAAAAAAAAAAAACAAAAACACAAAGTGGCATTACTTGTCACCCCATTTCCCAGCCTCCACCCCCAACCCTCCCAGTCAGTGGTGTTGAGGAAGGCTCGGCGATCTCACACTGTGATAAGCACACTTGCCTGTTGCTAGGAAACGGTGCATGGCCAGGAGAAGCTGTGGTGATATTTTAACCTTCATCTCGCTGTCTGTCTGCTTAAAGGCAGAAAAATCTTGCTTTCTTTCACGATGGGCCACTTTCTTTTTCGTTCTGTTATCAGCTGGGGGAGGGGGTGAGAAAAGAAAAACACAATCAGGACTCTTTATGGATGAAAGGGACAAAATCCACTGTTTGAAAGGCTCTAGGCTTCCTCCAGGGACCAGTGATTCCTCACAGAGAAAGGTCTCCTGGAACCATCAGACAGTAAAGGCAGACAGCAAAGACACCCTGGGTCCACAGTCACAGCAGGGAACCTGGAAAGAGCTCATGGGGAGGCTTTAGAGAGCCCATGCGAGACTGGACTGGGCAGGCAGGACAAAGCCCTGGACAGGCCCACACAGCAGCTGAAGGTGTGGCCTGAAGTGTACCTACAATGAATGTAACCACACTCCAGTGAAATTGTCCCTGTCTTCTAAAGGCCCACAACCTCAGCTGAAAGAACAAACAAACAGGATCCTTCAAGAAATGAACAAGACTGCACTCCAGGAATATGGCTTGAATCTCTCTGCCTGCTTTATTCCTAACAAGATGAAGAGGTGTTCAGGGACAGGCAAACATGGAGGTAACACTGGTGGCCCTCTGGAAAGGGCCAGAAAGAAAATAGGCTACACGGGCTCCATGGCTTTTGTTGCAGTATGTCCATGCTCAGCAAAAGTAGCGGTTTTAATTAAGAAGCACAGCTATGCTTTATGGAAATGGAAATCTGAATTTTCATTTAACTTCTACCTGTCACAAAATAGCATTTTGTTGATTTTTTTCTCAGTCATTAGAAAAACACAGGAAACCATTCTTGCCTTGTAGGCCATATGAGTTAAGCGGCAGACACTCATGTGCTATGGTTTGCTAACTCCTCATCTAGAAGGACTCTCCTGCAAAGTCACTTTTCAACTATTTTCCTGAATAAAGTAGTAATAAAGAAAAACCTGACTTGATGAGACCCCAGCTGGGTACAGTGGTATACGCCTATAATCCCAGCACTTGAAGGCTAAGGAAGATTACAGATTCAAAGCCAGCCTGGGCTACATAGTGAAACCCTGTCTCAAATAATACCACACCACCCCCTCAAAAAAAAGTAAAAAAGAACAAAAAGACAAGGCCCCCAATTCTTTTTTTGCCCCCAAGACTCTGTGAATTATTTCCTATCCAGGGTAAAACAAAATGATTACCAGGCTTTCCACAAATGTGTCTTAAGCTTTTCTTCTACCTCAATTTCTTTTGGAAAAATCAGATAGTGAAAATCAATATAAGATTTGAAAAATTTCTACTGGCAACCAGCTGTCATCATGGCCGACCTCCTATCTACATCAAGAATTTCCCTGAAACCACAAGTTCAGCATTGTGCACCAGCCAGTCAGGTCAGGAAGCAATGCTCTATGACGTAAGCCCCCAAGGCTTAAGAGTTTAGTAGCATTTCTATAAAACCCAAGTACAGAAGATCTTTTGAACATTTAAACTGTCTTTCCAAGGCAGCTGCTACACCAGGGAAAACACAAATGTCCAAAGCTGTATTCAGTATTAAACAATGGTTTGTGAAGAAGGTGAAGAGGGCCAGTAGATGGCTCAGCCTAATGAACCTGAGTTCAGTCCCCAGAACCCATGAAAAGGCAGAGAACTGACCCCACAAAATTGTCCTCTGACCTCCACACATGCACTGCTGTACATGTACACCCCCAAAAAGATACAGTAATGAATAAAACTGTCAAAAGTACAAAACAGACATGGGGACAAGTGTCTTAAAGAACACCACAGGCATGGAGCTGGAGAGATGGCTCAGCGGTTAAGAACACTGGTTGTTCTTGCAGAAGACCCAGGTTCAAATCCCAGCACCCACATGGCAGCTAACAACTGTCTATAACTCCAATTCAACAACTATCCATAAATTCTAGTCCCAGGGGATCCGACAGCCTCTTCTGATCTCTGTGGGCATTGTATGACATGAGTGCACTTACATACATAGTGCAGGCAATACATGAATACACATAAAATAAAAATATAATTTTTTAAAAAGTAAAAAAAAAAAAAACCACCATAGACATGTAAGGCAGGCAAGTACCCATTTTTCAAAGATAATTATTAGCGATTTAAAGCTTTTCTCTTGGGTTCTAGAAGACCTTAGTCATTTTAAAATGTGTAAGGTTCTGTTGTAGAAAGACTAAAGTCACTCTCTTTTTGAGCAAGGCAAGCTTTGCCCTGAATGACCCAGAGCATTGGGACAGTCCAAGTTCCCCTTTGAGTTCTGTTTCAAAGCTAAGAGGATATACAGCACCCGGGTGCTTGTTCTCTGCCCACTCCCAAGACCCTTGGGCCCTCCTTGGCATTATTAGCTTTTGAAAGACTTATACGATAATAGTGGGGCTGTGGATGAAGGCTGAAGCTTACTGGTCAGGTAAGCCAGTTAGTTGTATTCTGTAATGAGACAGGCTATAGGTCCCACACTTAGGGGCCACGTTCGTGTCTGAGGAAAGGAAGTACAGATACTTGCCTCCCCTTGATTGATCCAAGATACTCTCTGTGCCTGTCTGCCCCTCAAAAGGAGGTAGACACACAGATAATTAGAAAACTATATTCTCTGTGTGTATATGTATATGTGTATGTGCATGCATGTGTACATGCATGTGTGGAGACCAGAACTCAGTGTTGAGTGTCTTTCTCCATTATTGTCCACCTTATTTATTTATTCATTCATTCATTCATTCATTCATTCATTTTTGAGACAGGGTCTCATTGACCCTGAAGCTCGCAGGTTGGCTAAAGAAACTGCCCACTTCCCATTATTCTCTTCATGTCTCCGCCCCCAAGCACTGGAATTATAGGCACACACCACCATCTCTGGCTTTTTATGTGGGTTCTTAGGATCTGAACTTGGGTCTTCATGCCTGTACAGCAAGCACTTTACCAACTGAGCCATCTCCCCCAACCCTCCGCCCACAACTGCATTCTTGCTGAATCCCTCTTCCTATGTCCTACCCGCCATCACTGTCCCAGTCAACTATGGCTGCTCAGCTCATCTGCCTGAACCATGAATGCTGGAACAAGGAAATTTAATCAGCTGTCATCCATCAATTTAATGAAACAGATCCCCTTGTTAAATATGTGGATTATAAATGTAAGAATAAACTTGAAAACACTTTGTCTAGCTGTATAACATGAATTTAGCAAAGAAGGATGTAAAATATGTCTGAAAACCATGAGCAGAATTTCCTGTTTCAATGTAGATTCACCACCAGGAGAAGCTGGCTGTTAAAGAGAACACAGCTGCCTGATGTCACCAAATCTGTCTCTTCTTCCACCTCTGTAAGAGGCTGCAGGAAGCCTGCATATCATGTGTAATTACAAACAGATGGGCCCAACACAGGGGTGAAGGGTCAGATGACTCACAAATGGCAGGAAAGGTTTGAGAAAATCACAATCAGACACTGTGACTCACTGTATAAGTCTGTTTCATCTAGGATCTCAGATTTGATGATTTCTTCAATCACGTCTTCTAAGGTGACAATGCCCAGAACTTCATAAAATGGGTCCCCTTCGCCCTCATTGTTTACCCGCTGCACAATGGCCAGGTGAGATTTACCTTAAAGAAAAGAAAACAAGTTTAAAAGGTTGGTTCCTGGGTTCTCTGACTCCTTTCATGTCCTGTAAACACAGTGGCCAGTTTGTACCAGTTCAGTTCTCTGCCACCATACCACACCACCAGCCCAGTGCCAAACTGCGTGTGTGTGTGTGTGTGTGTGTGTGTGTGTGTGTGTGTGTGTAGGCCACATGACACCATCAGCTGTCTTCCTCAATTATTCTCCACCTTAAGTTTTGAGACAGGGTCTCTCATTGAACATGGAGCACTGATTCACTAGACTGGCCAGTGAGCCCCAGGGATCCTCCTGCTTCTCAATGCTGGGATTAAAGGCATATACTGCTGTGCCTGGTGTTCTCTCTCTCTTGTTCTCAGCATGTGTATGTATGTGTGATATATATGGGGACATGCATGTGTGTCTATAGAGACCTAAAGTTGGAGTTGAGTGTCTTTCTTTATCACCTTCCACTTTATCTACTGAGGCAGGGTCTCTCCCTAAATGCAGAACTCACAGAATCTGGCTAGTCTAGCTGGGCAGCTTTCCCAGAGATCCTTCTTCTGCTTCCCAAGTGTTAGGATTACATGTGGTCACCATGTCTGCCCAGCTTTTATATCAGTTTTGATGACCTGCAGCCTGGTCCTCATATGTGGCATCTCTCCAGTCCTCATGCCTAGTTTTTTTTTTATTTTATTTATTATTTTTATTTTATATGTATAAGTGTATTGCCTGCATGTATGTGAGTGCACCCATGTCATGCAGTGCTGCGGAGGTCAGAAGAGGGCTTTGGATTCCTCTGGACCTGGAGTTAAGAACGGTTTGTAGCCGCCATGTGGGTGGGTACTTGGAATCAAACCCAGGTCAGTGCTCTTAACCGCTGAGCCATCTCTCCATCCCCGTCTAGTTTTTTATGTAGATGGCAGGGATCCAAACTCGGATCCTCATGCTTATGCAACAAAGCTCTTTACTAATGGAGCTATCACCATAGTCCCTAGCAGAATTTTGGGGTATATGTGTATCTGCAGCAAAATTTGCTACTGGGTTATTAAAGTCTAGATTTTAGTATTTTAAATGGTGTGGTAATACCACAAAGGAATGGACAAAGTTTCCCAAGCCCTTAAAAGGAGGAAAATGGAGAAGCCCCATCTTCCACATACAGTTCGGTTTCCTAAAGGAAACCATCACTTAACTTGAGTACAGAAATTCTCTCAGAGAGAGAACTCTGGGAGGTCCAAGACGCACTGAGTTCAGTGTGGCCAAACCATTTCCCCCAAAATATTAAAATGTTATTGGCCTGTTCCACTTTGCTGGTCCTTACCATCCACAGTGTGAAGACACTGAACTTGTCCCAGAATGATGTCCCGGGAACAAGCAGTGCTCATCACTATTCACCACACACTCACAGAAGAGGGGAGAGTTCAGTCTCTAAGAATGTCCTTGATAAAGCAGTACAAGTAGTTAACTCCATTAGTCTTCACCCTCTGTAGGTACCTTTTAACACTCCACTTGAAAACACGAGATGGACAATAATGTATTGTGAAGTATAATAGTTGTTTTGAGAAGAAGGCACTTAGGTGCCTGAGTTAAGAGCTGGACTAAATACTTTACTTTTTGTGTTGCTAGGGCTGAAACCCAGGACCTCACAGGGGAGTACTTTACACTGAGCACACCCCCAGCCCAAGCTGATTTCATTGATCATTTTTACTTGATAGAATAACCAGTCACATCATAGTTATTTAGACATGTATACCTGGCAATCATTTTCAAGAAAATGAACAAAATGAACAAGGAAAATCATGGGTAGCATTTGATACCAATGATAAAAATTAGGATTTCAATAGAAAATTACAATTCTGGGAAACTCTTATCTATCATCATGAGCTTGATAGCTTCTTTCTAAAGTGTGTGTGTGTGTGTGTGTGTGTGTGTGTGTGTGTGCGCGCGCGTGTGTGTGTACATACCCATGCGTGTGCCTTTGGAGACCAGAGGTAAATATTTCATGTCTCCCTCATTGATGTTTTCTACCTTAGCTTTTTTTAATTTTATTTTTATTTTATGTATATGAGTGTATTCCTTGCATGTGTGTAAGAGCATCTGTGTTGTGCAATGCCTGCAGAAGTCAGAAGAGGGCATCAGATCCCTTAGAACTGGAGTTATGGACAGTTGTAAGCTGCCATGTGGGTGCTGGAAAATGAACCCGGGTCTCTGCAAGAGCAGCTGAGCCATCTCTCCAGCCCCTCTACCTCAGTTGAGACAAGGTCTCTCACTAAACCTGAAGTTCACTAACTGGCTAGACTGCTGGTCAGTCAGCTCTTGGGATCTTTCTGTCTCTGCCTCCAAGGGCTGGGATTTCAGGCATGTGCTGCCATGCCAAGCTTGTCATGTGGGTGCTGGGGATCCAAACACGTTTTCATACTTATGCAGCAAGTACTTTAACCACTGACCATCTTTCCAGAACCTCAGTAAAATTTCTTTGGTGAGATGGGTACTGACATTAATGAAAACAGCCTTTAAAATACTGAATAATCTGTTGTATCAACCTTTTGAAGATTTGTAAAATTCAGTGAACCAATATTTTTCAGCTGACTATGGTAATGAGATATAAAAATCACAGGTGGATAAATGAACATAAGCGCCACGCAAAGGCAGAACAGTGGACTGTTAGAAATAAACATTAAGAGCTAGATGAGGGCAGGGGCAGATAGCATACCTGGCCAGCCAGGGCCACAGAGTGAGACCTTGTTTCAAAAATCAACTAATCCAAAAGCTGGTGAGATAGCTCAGTGGGTAAAGGTGCTAGACACACAGACCTAACTACCTGTGTTCAATCCTCAGACCCTACAGTGGAAGGAGAGGACCAATTCACCAAAGTTGTCCTCTGACTGCCACTGACCTCCACATGTGCAACATGATACGTGTATACACCCATGTACCCCCTTGCCTCCCCCCACACACAAATTTTAAATAAAATTCAAACAAACCAAAACCAAAGAGGGAACAATTTTAGACTAACAGAAGAATCACAAATATAGTACAGAGCATTCCTAGAGACTCTGCCCAGTTTCCCCATTGTGACACCTTGTATTACCATGATACAACAGTCAAACTAAGGAATTGGCATCAATGCATTACTAGTTATTCTCAAAATAAGACTTTCCTGCATCATTATCTAATCTGAGCAGCGCACAATTTAGCTGTCAGGTCTCCCCAGTCTCCTGTGGTCTGTGACAACTGCTCAACCTACATTTTTCATGACTCTGACCATCTTGAGAAATACTGCTCAAATCTCCTGCCAGTCACTAAGTCTAACCCGACCCCAAGGGAGAGAGAGAAACAATCCAGTTCTTCCTCCTCCAGTCGGGTGCATCTACTTACATTATTAGGACAGGAGAATATGTACATATATTCTTCAGAACTCTTCTGTAAAAGTCAGATGAAAAAGTGTTAATTGGAGAGAGTGGCCTAAGTCCACTGGTGGGATCTGAGGGTCCATAGAGTGTACTTAACTTATAAGAAACCTCTGTTGGTGCTGGAGAGCTGGCTCAGCCATTAAAGGCTCAGGCTTACAACCAAAACATCAAGAAATCTCTACTGGACTAGGGAGATGACTCGGTCAGTAAAGTGCCAGCCACATAAGCCTGAGGACTGACTGGAGTTTGGGTCCCCAGAAGCCATGTTGAAAGTCAAGCATGGTTGACACGCCTGCAACCTCAGCGTTGGGGTGGGAGCACAGAGACAGTCAGCTAGCCTAGCTGAATTGCTGAACTGCAGGTTCAGTGAGACCCTGTCTCAAAAATAAAATTGAAAAATGATTGAGGAAAGAGACCCAATGTCTACCTCTGGCCTTCACAAACACACACACATAAATACTAACAAGTGCATATAACATATGCACAATACACACATACACGCCCCAAGAATTAAAAAAAAAGAAAAAGAAAAAAAGAAACCTCTACTTAGAGTGTTTTGGTGTAGTATCAAATATTGGTAAATATCCACAGTTACATCAGGACTTTTAAAATATGTCTTCCTGGGCCGGGGAGATGGCTCAATGGGAAAAGGCACTTGCTGCTGCCAAGCCCGATGACCTGGGTTTGATCCACAGGACCCATATAGTGGAACGAGAGCACTGACTCTCACAAGTTGTCCTCTGCCCTCCATACATGCACTATGGCATGCACACTCGTATGCCCTTGCACATATACAAAATAAATGTTAATTTTTTTTCACTTTGGTTTTTTGAGACAGGGTCTCCCTGTAGCCCCAACTGGCCTAAAACCCACTGTGTAAACCAGGTTGGCCTCAATCTCACAGAGAGCCACCTGCCTCTGCCTCCCTAGTGCTGGTATGAAAAGTACATGCCACCATGCCTGGCTCAAATGTTAAAATTTTTAAAGGTATGTCTCTCTTTTCCAAATATATATCCATGTAAGGCCAAATTTTCTTCATATACTCAAGTAAATACCATACTGCACAGCGTGAACACAGGAGAAATGAGAATCAGCTACCTTGTATTCAGCTAGGTAACAGATATGTTAAAAGGTAAACACTGACATTCCTCCTATTTTTCTGTTTTGGAAAATATAGTTATTCTTGATAAAAATGTTATTTATGGGGGCTGGAGAGATGGCTCAATGGTTAAGAACACTGACTGTTCTTGCAAAAGACCCAGGTTTGAATCCTAGCACCCACATGGCAGCTAACAACTGACCATTAACTCCAGTCCCAAGGGATCCGACAGCCTCTACTGACCTCCTCGGGCATTGCACAACATGGGTGCACTTACCTACATGCAGGAAATACATGCATACACATAAAATAAAAAATAATAAAATTTTTAAAAATGATATTTACATTAATATGCAATGGATTTATTACCGTCCTTTAAAATGAACTGATAATTTACATTTTAAAAATTATTTATCATTATTGTGTGTTTGATGTGTGGGGTGCAAAAGCCACCAAACACATGTGGAGGTCAGAAGAAAACTTGTGGAGTTGTGTT